CCAGGAGTTGGAGGTTGCTGTGAGCTGTGAAGCCACGGCACTCTACCCAGGGGGATAGCTTGAGGCTCTGTCTCAAAAAAAAAAAAAATGCCAATGTTTGCCCACAGTCAATAGTTGAACAACCCATTGATTGTGAGTGGAAATGCCACAGGTATTTACCTCCTCGGGCTGAAAGCAGGATGTCAGCTCCAGGAGGTGAGGATATTTTCCGTTTTGCTCACCTTTGTATCACCAGGCACCTAGAAGCAGGCCTGTCACAAAAACAGCTGTCTGGAAGATTCACATTATGAAATATTTCAAAACCAGCTTGTCCTGCAGAGGTCCTTCCCCTCTGGTGCTGAGTAATTGGGGAGGTGGAGCTGGAAAGAAAAAGTCCCAGGGACCGTCTGGAATGGTTTTAGGAAACAGCAAGAGTCTGAAGGCTGGGAGAGGTTAGAGGTTGAAGTGAGGGAGAAACAGAAGCCCTTGTGCTCGGTGTTCACAGTGAAGAGGCAAGAGAGCCGGGACAAAAGAAGGATTTGCTCAGCCGAGCAGGCAGCACACAGCTGAGGGGAAGGAAAAATGTAACTGGTGGGGTGAGAGAGTGAGAGGCGTTTGGCAGGGTTTTGAAAAGTCCTTTTACCAGAGTTGCTAGCGTCTCTCTAAGCTTTCCTGGTCCACAGGGCTCTCTGTACAAGGAATGCAAAGCATTGGATAGATAACAAGCTTGAAATACCCTATAAGGGAGACAGTGGCTCACACCCAGGAAGTGTGGATTGGAACAGCCACAGAGAAAGAAAATTGAACAAAGGGTGGCCTTGTGAATTTCGGCTTGAAGGGAGCCCATCTGGAAGAAGTGCAGTGGGAGTGATAGCTTTAATCTCCCTTCAAAGTGGCTTGAAGGTGTGTGTTCCCAGGAACACAGAATCCTCAAGAACTATGTGCTTGTCAGTCAGTCCTTCCTTCCTTCCTTCCTTCCTTCCTTCCTTCCTTCCTTCTTTCCTTCCTGCCTGCCTGCCTGCCTTCCCTTCCCTCCCTCCCCATTTCTTTCCTTCTTTCTTTCTCGCTCTTTCTCCTCTTTATTTAAGTAAATATGCCCATGGAAGTTACATTAGGCATTCCCCCCCCCCTTTTTTTTAACTAAACCATAAAAATATTCTGTGAAGCTTTATATCACTGCAATTAAG